AAAACAAAATAAATAATTATAGTCGTATATCACAACAATAATTATCAAAAACACACACTTTATATAAATATTATGACTAAATAAATGAAACAGACTAACATGAACAAAGAACAAAATAAAAAGTAAGTATTATAATGAATAAGAAACTTTATATAGAAAATAAGTAAGCAAAACATAAACAAAACTAAGAAAAAGATCGATAAATTAAATCAAACAATGATGATACATGTAATTGGAAGTAAAGAATGAAATGAAATATACTAAATGAAACTACTTTATACGTAATAAAACAAGCTAGAAAGTTAATAATACACTTATAATATAATATACAATAGCAAACAATGATAATGTAAAATGAATGAGACATACTAAAACACGAGAATAACATAATATTACTAGAAAAGCATAAGATATAAGACAAGAATGCAAAACAAATTAGGCAGAAGTACAATAAAGATTATAATAAGGTATACAGAACATACATAATCATAATTGAAAATAACATTACGAATAAACATAGATAGAAACACATCAATACATATAGACAAACAAACAGAGACAAATCATAATAATAATCAATAGCAGAATGAAACGATACATATAATTACTAGCATACAAACAGTTATATAACACAAAGTAAATAATACCAAATCATATTAGGTTCAAAGAAACACAAATAAAATCAAAGTATAAAAATAAAAGATATAAAAGCAAAAGGGATAAACAAGATTCAATAACAATAATAATCACTATCTAAAATCAATTTAGACATAGCAGTATACTGTGAAATAGTTAAAATCACATAAATACAATCAGCGTAATATACATAAATAAAATGTATAATACATAAAACATGAACTATGGAAGATAAAATAGATTTATAAACAAATGAAAACATACAATATGACATTGTATGTGATACATAAAATAATATAATAAATAATATAGAATTCAATACAATCAAACGATACACAAGTCAAGTCAAAGAAAATATAGTGTAAAATAATAACATATAAAATAATGACAGGCACGAGGATAGAGGAGTTATACAAAGAGAGGATAATCGCGAAGCGATGGGACAAGAACCGTGGAAACCCCGGAGTCAAAGAGTGATAAGATAGGGATGAAACGAATCTATCAAGAAAATAGGATAAGGACTCAAGAATAGTCTTACGGATGAAATCATGATATATATCTAAATTGTCCACTATATTCTTACTGATAGAAATAAGGGACCGTGATCGGAACCGTGGCCTGCATGGGCCACCAAAAAAACCTGTCACGTCCCGCTTCCCAAAATACCCGAAAATCAGAACGTGAACAAGCCCGCGACGTATTAGATTGAGAAGAAATATACACTACTATTTTTTCTCTCATTTCTTTTCTTCTCAACCCAATACGCTAAGCGTTTAGAAATAAATACAATGCGAAGTCACAGGTCCCCGATCATAACAAGCAAGAATATAATGAACAACACAGAATAAAATAATACATATCACAAATGAATATCATCCAAGACATAATATTCGGGTCAAACATGCCCTTATACAAAATGAACAAATGAATACTAGAGAAATATAATACATCGTTCAAACTAAAATGGGAAGTACTATAAGAGTAACGGAACCATCTGTTAGCCCTTATGTTTTGATGATGTTTTACAACCACCATTATCGGTACTAATGGCTTATTGAGTGCAAATGTAGTAAATTCATTTATCAAGCTTGTTAGTGCCATAAATGGAGGATTGGATGGAACATACGCTACAACGATGATATCCAAAGGAGGAGGAGGCATAATGATGAAGCAATGTTATTTCAAGAACAACAAATTCATATAGAAGCTTCATCAAAATTAAAGCTATATCAAGACTCAAGAACTTTATTCTATGTGAGGATATTAGTTAGTTTTTATTTTCTCTCTAGTGCTAGAATGTAGGCAAAGAGTTATTGATTTCACTTGAAACTATTGGGAATCACACACACGTTTTCATACTTATGTTTTTAAGCTTTTTTCACAAAATACTATTTTTCACAAGTATGAGGACCTATCTGCAAAATTCTTTTTACAAACAGTTTGTTTTTAGTATTAAAAACATTTTACAAAGTTTCATAATTTTCAGAGGTCAAATAAATATTTTGCAAATATTTTAGTTAAGTCAAAAATCAGTTTCTGCAATGTATCAGAATGCGGTCGACCGGACCGGTCGACCGCACATATGATCATTCGTTACTGGACTCCAGAGAGTTTGTCGGTCGACCGGTCCGGTTGACCGAAATCTTGATTTTTCTATCGGTCGACCGCGTCGGTCGACCGATGTAGTCTCTGTTTGTTTTCTGGGTTTTCAAAGTTGTTCGCGGTCGACCGGATTTTCGGTCGGTCGACCGAAGTATTTTTTTGGTCGACCGAAAATCCCTTCGGTCAACCGAAATTTTCTTCGGTCAGCCGCGACTTTTTTTCAAACGGTCGATTGCCTCGTTTGCTGTGCTTTCACTTAACTGTGTTCGGCACAGTCTGTGGTAATGGTTTGAAAAGGAGATTATTTTCTTAATTGGGAAGATTGGGTTGTGTTTTTAAAATGTTTAATCTCTTCTATTTAAACCCTTTCTCCTTCATCTTCCCAGTTGCCCTAATGTTTGCGAAAACCAGAGAGAGACGTTGTCTTCCTGAGAAAAATTTTCAAACCTGTTCTCTGTGTTTTTCTCTGTGGTTTTGTGTGTGTTCACTTCCCAGCTTCAGTAATCCTTCTCTTTGCCATAGGGGCTGTGTAAAGAGAGAGTCTTGCATCTTTTCTTCTGCTGTGTGAGTGAGATCTGTGGAGATCTACTGTGAGGGAGTGTGATCTGTGAGATCAAACTGTGTAGTGAGAGAGATCTGTGGAGATCGCTGTGTAGACGAAGTTCCGGCTTCCAAACCGGGTGTGTAGTGGATTTCTCCTCGAGAGTGGGGAGCGGCATAATTAGAGCCTCTTGACCCTAATCACCCCTCCTCTAGGGTCCAACAATTGGTATCAGAGCTTGGTCTCTATATTAATTTTTGGTTTAACTGCCTTAGAGAAAAGATCTAATGGAGGCCTCTTTGAATATGCATATGTTAGAAGGACAATCCACCTCTAGACCACCCCTCTTCACTGGGAGTAATTTTGCTTATTGGAAGGCTAGGATGAGAATCTACCTCCGTTGTATTGATCTTGACATCCTAGAGCTCATAGAGAAGAAATATGTAGAGAAGTCCAAAGTCGGGAGTATGACCGATGGAGAAAGGCACCAAGCCAATCTCAATGCCAAGGCTATGAACGCCTTAATCTGTGGTCTTTCCCCCAATGAATACAATAGAGTTTCCACGTCTGCAACCGCATACGAAATTTGGCAAAAATTATGTATCACACATGAAGGAACACCCCAAGTTAAGGAATCTAGCTAAGATTAATGGACTTATGCATGATTATGAGCTATTTAAAATGCTACCAAATGAATCCATTGATGCTATGTTTTCCCGTTTTACTAATATCATCAATGAATTACATGGTCTTGACAAGTAATTGTCCATTCAAGAGATGAACTACAAGATACTTCGCTCCTTGACTCCGGCATGGGAGCCCAAAGCTACGGCCATTGAGGAAGCTCATGACCTCACTACCTTAGCTCTTGATAGCCTCATCGGAAAGCTCAAAGTGCATGAGAAGAAGCTCAATGGGATGAGGAGCCGTCACCAAAGTTGAAGACAATAGCTCTCAAAGGAGCTAGTGACAACTCATCTTCGTCGTCGGATAGTGAAGTCGATTTTTCTAGAGAAGTGGCTCATCTCTCTAGAAGAATCTCTAGACTTATAAAAATAAACAAGAAATTTAACCCCCGATCTAATAATAAGTTTTTCTCTCGTGTAGGTAAATGTTTTAAGTGCAATGAACCGGGTCACATCGCTAAGGATTGCCCCAAGCTCAAAGAAAAGTACATGAAGTACAAGAAGAAGAAGGCTATGTATGCCGGATGGGAAGAATCCGAACTAAGTGACTCGGATAGTAATGAAGAAGGAGCAAAATTGGCTCTTCATGACCCAAATGTTTGTTTCATGGCAAATGAACATGAGGTAATATCCGAGGCCGAAAGTGAATCTTTCTATATGCAATGTGACATAGCTATGGCTTTAGAAGAGTTGAATTTTGAATTTAAGAGAATGTCTAAAGAATACTCTTCTTTCAAAAAGTTGCATGCTTCTTGTGATATCAAGCTAGAGCAATTAACAACTTCTCTTGCTCTAAAAGATGAATTGCTGGAGATCTCGATTTCGAGAATAAGCAATTAAGATCAAAAATTGAAAGATTAGAAATTGAGAGTTATAGAACTAGACCCACTCATGCTTATGCTAACTACAATCACCATGATAGAAATAGGTTTCATGGTTCTAACATTCGTACATACAAAAGAAATTTTGTATGCACTTATTGTATGAGACATGGACACATTTCTACTCATTGTAGAATTAAAGACAACCAAGATTTTTATGGATTGATATGGGTACCCAAAGGTACCAAAACTACTAACCACCAAGGACCCAAGACTTGGGTACCTAAAGCTACTACATCTTCATCTTCATCTTTTGTAGGAAACATCACGGCAACGACGTAAGGAGATGTGGTACCTTGATAGTGGTTGCTCACATCATATGACAGGCAACAAAGAGTTATTTGCAACCCTATCAAGGATTGAAGGAGGCAATGTCTCCTTCGGTGGAGGTGAGAAAGGTAAAATTATTGGTATTGGTTCTATTGGTAAGAAACCTTCATCCATAATAGAAGATGTTTATTTAGTAAGTGGTTTGAATCATAATCTTCTTAGCATTAGCCAATTAAGTGATAAAGGTTTTGATATTTCTTTTAAACCGGATAGAACGCAGCGTGAGTGAATTGCTTCAGGGAAATATTCTCTCACGGCTTCTCGAATCCCCTTGTCGGCATCAGAAATAATTACCAATTGGTGGGGGGATTGTACGGGTCCAACCTTTCATACAGTATGGACCACAGGCCTTGTAGGAACCATCTCCAATTATCAATATTTTCTTGATCACATATACAATACGCAAGTGGAAATATCCCTCGGTCTCCGTCATAGGCTATGGTGCTTAGAAGCATGCCTTTATATCTGTCTTTCAAAAAGGTCCCATCCAAAAATAAAAGGGGTCTACAGCCATTTAAGAAACCCTGGATGCAAGCAGCATAACATATAAACAGTCTTCTGAACCTTCCTTCATTCTGGTCAATGCAAATGTAGCTTCCTGGATTCGTTTGCTTCAACATTTGCTCATACCTGTACAACAATGCCGCTTCTGGACATGTAAATAAATATAATACATTGGAACATAAGGGTAACATATTAACATTAAAGCGGCTACGATAAACATTTGCACACAAGTTATAAATTAACTGTAATATTTACCATCTTAATTGATCATAAGCCTCATAGCTATCACCATACATATCTTGCTGCGCTCTTTCTTTGGCCCACCATATCTTACTGTATTCAAGTCTCAATCCAAAACGAGTGAGGAAGTCCTTTTGCACATCAATTGGGCGGATTTCAGGTCGTGCCTTTAATACCGGTCGCAATTGGGCTGCTATGAACTTGCGAGATGCCCGTGATTGCCCTGACAAGCTAGAATGTTGTCCGCAACTGTGTTCATTCACAAACCTTTTGATTTCCATTCTTTTATCATTTTTAACAGGAGCTGCATAGAGCATCCAAGGGCATCCATACGTCTCCTTATATCGACAACAAACGCGGATACGTTTGGGTTCATTCTTTACAAATTCATATTCAAATTTTTTGGCGATGGAATAGTATTGCAAAGCTAGTCTCAATTCAGTTACGGTTTCAAATTGTTGCCCCTTTTCAGTTAATGCTGTGTGCCACCATTGAGGAATGCTCGAAGTGTTATTGAGAATATCATCAGCCCTCATTACAACCTCACCAGACGGAAAATCAGTTTGGATTCTCTCTGAATTGGATGCATTATGTCGAGTAGGACAACTATAATCTGAATTCAAATAGGCATCCCTGTTGCACAATTTAATCAAACAGTGAGATATCCTGCACACTATGTCAAATAATCTTCTTATAACTTAAGTTACCAGCACTATGATGAAAGTTAACAATATGCATGGTTAACACAGCACACCAAAAGTTAACTAACTGGGTGTAAATTTAACCATTTTGATTAAAACTTAACATAGAGCAGTGGAATTTAACAGACAATGGACATAGTTAACACATAAATACGAAAGTTAACATGTTCAAGAAAAGTATAACATGTTCCAATGAGAGTTAACATGTTCATATAATAGTTAACATATATCTTAGATAATTAACCTGTAAGCTGAAGGGTTAAAATGTACCCATCAGCGTTGACAATTATTTTTCCCCAAAGTAGCATCGAAACCTGAAATCACAATTTCAACATCCCACATATACCAGTTTCAAGCAGAGTTCATTCTATTACTTACAAATCAGTAATAACTTTCTGTTTTTTCCTCAGTAGGACACTACTTGGCATCAACATCTTGCATTTTAATCAGAACAATTCTAGTTATTTACTTGCGTTCCAACGTGCACTTCAAATCATGCAGAATATAGCATTATCGCCTGACGGCACCATGCTCATCAACTCTTTGGAACCCGTTGGGGGTTCAAATTTATGACGACGGTTATACGGTTACATTCAGGGGATTTAAAGCCCAGAGGGGTCATTGAAAGTTGACCAAAAGATAACGGTGTTTACATCACACTAAGCACAATGTTATAAAGAGTTTACTAATTACTTACATTTCCCTAATATCTTTCTGATTCTTCCCTGACGTGGAACACTCTACATTAACAGCAGCCTGCATATGAATCTCCGTACAACCAATATTTCGATTGTGCTCCAACATGCACTTCAGGTCAGCTTCGTTCTCAACCGAAAAACTCAGGTTGGGGTGCCTCTCAGATTTATATATCAGGGAAAAAGATTCTTTAGGTACTTTCAATCTTTCAGCCACACCATATTTCAGTTCATAAAAGCTTGTTGTCGACATTAGCTTCATAAATATGGCATTCTCGCCTAAAGACACCATGCAAATCAAGTCATCGGCGGCCATTGAGTGGTTGAGAGTTATGAGGACAGTTAGAGGACAGTTATGAGGAGGTGAGGAGTAATTTAGGTGATTTCAGCCGCATAGGCGTGGTTGACAGTTGAAGAACATACCCTAATTTCATTAATGAGAGAGTGAGAGCTAGAACTAACCGATTTATAGTACCGTCTGATGAAGCAGCACAGTAATGGAGGGAGCGCGCGCTTTTTTCCCCCGCTTTCCTCCGTCGCTTCGCCTTAAATGCGATGGGAGCGGTCGCCGCCAGAGGCGGAACCCATTTAGCCGGTTTTCGTTTGAGAGAGAAGAGGGTAATTTAGGTATGTTGGTCAAAATACACCCAATACATGTATAGGAATGAGGTTTTAGGGCTAGGCCGCATTTTTCACCATTTAATGGGGCTGAATGCTAAGGGAATTAATTGAGGGGGCTGGGCCACAACCAGATCTTTTTTTGGGGGTCTTAAAACATTTTTCCCTTCATTTTATTAGAGTTAATAAAAAAGCATGTTCTTTATTTAATACGTGGATCTTTGCCTTTTGTGAGTTTTCTTGCGGCCCAGGAAAGCAGCTGGGGGCGTGGCCGACAGCAGATACAGCCAGATGAAATTTTATAATATCTAATTTTTCACATTTGACAGAGAATCTCAACCGAGTTCCCCACTTGCTTGGAAATTTCGTAGCTTATTATTTTAGGCTTCTTATATATTAATTACCTCCCGCAAAACAAACATCACAAAGGTTGCTAGACTTTATTTGTGATCCCACTTCGAGTTTCCTTTCCAACTGAAGATAGAATATAAAATTCTTCCTCTTCAGTGCCGGGAGATAGAATATAAAATTCTTTCTCTTCCATTTTTTGGTCCGTCTTTACCCTAAACAAGACCTGGAGATAGAATATAAAATTCTTCCTCTCCAGCATCGGGTTTGTCTTTACCCTGAGAAAAGACACAATTCTCAACTTCCAATCCGCGCACTTTATGCATGGGGAATTTTATCTCGACTCCTAAATAGAGATAAGCCTATGCCTAATACGCGTTGCCGATTTAGTCTTTCACCGATTGAAAAAGACACCAGAGTATAATTCTGGGGTATTTTATCCCGAAGCCTAAGAAGGGGTAAGTCATCACTTAACGCGTGTTGCCGGGTGCCATGTTCCCGTAAAAAATGGTGAAGTCTATGTATTCAAAATCATAGCACTAAGTCTAAGA